TATTATTATTCTAGACAACTTAACAAAATGAAGAAGCTTTTTAAAATAAATGCTTGATCTGAAGAGGCCCGGTGCTATTGTATTTTCTTTTAAATAGCAGAGAATAATGTATACTTCCAGAAAGCCATAGCAATTTTAACAGCATCTGTACAAGTATAGTCTGAAATGTAACACCACAAATGTTATATCTTCTGTACTGTTTACTGTTTGCTGCAAGAAGGCAAATTGCTGGGAGACAGAGGCAGATTCCCCCCCCCCTTGTTTTCCTCCTAAAAGTTAGGTGCATCTTATACTTTGGAGCGTCTTATACTCCAAAAAATATGGTAATCTCAAAATTGTGGTCTCAAAATGCTATAAAACTTCCAATTATTCTAGCAAAGATATTGTCTCTTTGGATTTGTGATTTTGGACTTCTAATCTGAAAAAAAAATAGTCTGAACATTATTGTGTTATTACTGAAGCTCAAAGGCCATCAGTGCCCAATCTGTTTTCTGCCATAATCTTAGCCTGAGAACAAACTGTGAAGTTTCTATGTCCATATTGCTGAAACATAATTTTGAATGGCATATAGATAGTCCTTAATTTACAAACACAACTTTGACCAGAATTTATGTGGATAAGCAAGACGGTGGCTAAGTGAGTTGCATCCAATTTTATGACCTTTTACAATCAAAGGTGTTAAGCAAATCAGAAGGTCATTAAGCAAATCCAGCTTTCCACATTGACTTTGCTTTTCAGAAGCCAGCTAGGAAAGTTGCAGATTGCAATCTCATGAGGATGCTGCAATTGTCATAAATACAAATACACTAATGCAATTTTGATCACATTAATATGACTAATCTGGTCATAAGTCACTTTTTTCAGTCCTGTTGAATTATTGCTAAATGAATGGAGGTAAGTCAAAGACAGTGGTGGGTTTCAAAAATTTTTAGAACCTCTTCTGTAGGTGTCGCCTGCTTTGGGGGAGTGGCTTGCCAGCCATGTGACTGGGTGGGCATGGCCAACATGTAAAATGTGGTGAAACTCACTTAACAACGCTCTTGCTTAGCAACCAAAATGTTGGCTCAGAAACTGAAGCATGCAAGTCTTAAAGCTGTCAAGTTACAAGACCCTTGCACCCCTAACCCTTTAGAAAAAAAAAACCCAGGGGTGTTCAAACTTGACAGCTTTAAGACTTGTGGACTTCAACTCCCAGAATTCCTCCTCTCGCTCTTCATCTTGATGATGTGTGGACGGGCGGGGGGAGGGAGCTGGAACCGATTCTAAACGGCACTGTAGATTTGTGTAGAACTGGCAGGAACCCACCTCTGGTCAAAGACCACCTGTGCTTGGAAAAGGGAATTGAAACAAGTCATAATTAGTATTAAATAGTAGTGGGAGCAATTCTTAAACTGCACAAGCCCTTCAGGGCGCAGAAAATGCCGTATTTTTGGAGTATAAGACGCACCTTTTTCCCTCAAAAAAGAGGATGAAAATCTGGGTGCGTCTTATACACTGAATACAGCATTTTTGGCTTCCTGAAACCCTGCCCCCTTTGCAAAAATGGCCATGCATAGCCTTTAGGAGGCTTCCAGAATGCTCCTGGGGGCTGAGGAGGACAAAAATGAGTGAAAAATGGGCCCCAGAAGCACTCTACAAGCCTCTTAAATGCTATGCATGTCCTTTTTTGACAAAAAATGGGCCAATTTTCTCGAAAAATTGACTGTTTTTGGGGGGTCTGCAGAGTGCAAATTTTTTATTTATTTATTTGCCTCTTCAAAATCTTAGTGCTAGATAGATGCATTTAGTACCATATTTTCCTGAAGATAAGCCCCAATGTGTCTTTTGGAGCAAAAATTAATATGACCCGGTCTTATTTTTGGGAGTTGAGGAATGTGCAAAAGCAGCACAAAGCAGATTTACTTTGTTTTAAAAAGTCATGCTGGCTGAGGAATTCTGGAAGTTCGTTTTATTACTCCAGAGATTGAGAAACATTGATATAGAAGATCACGCCTTGACATGCCCTTGCTGCTAATTCCCCAATCTTCCCAAAAGCAAACACATGAGGGCAGCAAATTCTAACAATTCACTCTGAGCCAAACGGGATTCTTCATTACAATGTGCTTTGTTCATTTTGAACTAGGGCATAGCTGGCGGTTTTCCCCATCCACCCAAGGGGAAATTGAAATAGCCGATACAGAAAATGATTTTTTTCTTCAAAAACATGATTTCCTGCTTCTGATGCGGGAGACTGCATTTCTCCAAAATATAGACTATAGTATTTTATAGTATAGCATACGGCATATTATAAATGGACTAGTAATATATATTAACATTTCAGCTAAATTAGTAAAACAATAAAATATAAATGTTAAAGACTATTGTAAATTTGTTTGGTCTTTTCAAGGGACACAGGATTCATTTTTTGGAATGACAGATTAACGTGATTATCCATTTAGAAAAGTGTGTCTCAATCTTAGCAACTTTAAGCTTCCATGCTGCCACATTCTTGTGCCTGGGAAAGTAGGAGGGGGGATTTAGTAGAGGGAATGCAGCTAGACAAAATAACATTCTTCATTTTGGTCAAGGTCATGGCATTCCTGCACCTGGAGGAGGGGTGGCTGGAATGATATCTCGAGTTGGAACGGATTGGGATTGGACGAGGTGATGGGAATGTTGAGTGCAGGGGATGGGTTTGGACTTTTGACTTACTGAGGAAAAGCCGGGAAATATCAGATTCAGTGTTTCCCAGATGTGCCTGTATATCTACTCTAATAAATGGGAGCTTTGAGAAAATGCCTGTCTTATAGTTTGATTGGAGTTGGGGTTTTCAGGAATGCTGACAATGTGGACTTCAACTCCCAGAATTCCCCAGCTAACCATGCTGACATATCTTAAAACTGCTAAGCTGGCTGGCTGGGGAATTCTGGGAATGAAAGTCCACATCTCTTGAAGTTGCTAAGCTTGAGAAACATTGATCTAGAAAAATTTAAAACTTCACTGGCAGAATCCCACCCCTGCCTTTGTAATTGCAATTGCATGGTGCCAACTCTCAAGGTGTCTGGACCTGCCCTGATGCATCCTTCAGCACCTCATGAAAAAACAAGGCCATGAAATATCCCTGCTCAAAACCCAGAAATGTAAACTTAATAAACTTGCTATCTTGTACATGGAGAAAATTTTACTGGGACATTTCCATGTGAAATCAATGGAACCAAACTAAATATTGAAAGAAGAAAGAATTCCAGGCACCCACAGGAGATTGTAAGAGGGAACAGAAGGATAAAAGTAGAGCTATGTCATCCTGCTGCATGTATTGTGATGTTACACTCCGGTAGGAATGAGCAGAACCTGGGACACAATGGGGGAAACATTGCTTTCACCTTTTCACAAAACCAACAAGATATTGTGGATGTGGATGCCCACAGGTTCAATGAAATCAGTGCAATCAGACTAGCTCAGTGATGAACCTTTGGGGCTTAGGGTAGCAATTTTTTTTAAAAAAAAATCTAATTTGTCTCTTCTGGCATGCACCCCGCCCCACCCAAACAAAAGATAAAATGATTCTTTCATATTCGTTTATTTTTTTAAAAAAATAATACAGTCCAATCATGTTTGTGATCCCCAAGATCTCCCTCATAGTCTTCTAACTGACAGGAACCTGAGGTCTATTCAAGGCTGTTCTGGGCCACACAAGCCTTCATCCTTGAAGCAGCTTTGAAGAATGCTCTTCTGAAACATCTGCAAACCAGGTGAAAGGACATTTTTTAATGCAATTTTCAGAGGCTAGAGACCATGATAGAGCACAACCTTCTCACGCAACTTCTGGAAAGTCTGGTGGTCATTTGACAGCATGCCCTATTACTGTGTGGCCTTGGCAGCCTCCAAATATCATGGAAGTACAGCAATATTGGTGAACTGTTGTGTCACCCAAAACATGGATTGCCATCTCTGAAATGTACATCCTCGGTTCACCATCAGATCTAGCTAAACTAGTGACTGAATACCTCAATAAACTCTTGGATTTTGTCACAAATTGTGTGTTCATAACAAGGAAAGTGTTGCAGCTTCTGTTTTGCCACGGCTAAGCATCCCTTGTCTTTTGCTTTCCTAAAACAGTTCTTCCTTCTTGAAAACTAGTTACTAACAATTCACCAAAAGTGAAAAACTAAAATTGTCCCATTTTTCCCCCTTGGATAACTTTTAGGTTGTTTTCCCTCCTGTCTCAGCTATGCTAAACAACATGATCTAAATTCATCCCATACTGATAACATTGAGCAATTTAATTTCTACCAATGGTGCTACTGTGTTAATGGGATTATACATGAGGGGCTTTTGCCATGGGGTGGGAAGAAATAAGCAGAATCCAGGTTGCTCAGCATGAGGTTAATATAATTGACTTCTAGACCATCAAAATTGCAGTTGTGGCTCTAGGAAACGTTAAAGAGTATGGGGAATTAGGAATTGCAGAGTTCACAAGTACACTTCATGGTAAAGAGCTAGTAGCAAACATTTGATGAGTCCCAATATAGGATAAAACTTGTCATGTGGTTTGTGTAAGTAAAAAAGCCACAGAGAATATAAATATACGCTTTGTGAATGGATAAATGGTGAACATGACATAATGTAAAATCTGAGATTGAGGTAAAGCAGACTGCTATTAACATTTGTGTAGGTTGTTAGTTAAGGAAACTACCTGGGCATACCCCTGTAGTAACTAAATGAACTTCACTTTGACATAGATTTGGGGGGACTTCTCACTAACAATCTGAGAGTAGTTAATTCAGAAGTGAAGTTTGAAAGTTACAGGTAAGTGTGCCAGTCTTTCACAAACAAAATAGAAATCTAGTATTATGTTTGATTTAAAAAGAAGTCAGAAAAAATGGAAGCCCCATAGTTTAGTGCAGTGTTTCTCAGCACTGCGCTGGCTGGGGGATTCTGGGAGTTGAAGTCCACAGGACTTAAAGTCGCCAAGGTTGAGAAACACTGGTTTAGTGTGTGCCACCTGTTTTAGTCTTAAAGAAACACAAGAAGCAAAAAAGATATTTAGTTTAATACAAATTTTATACAAAGAAAATGTGAAAAAATACTTCCATATGCTAAAAGCAATTATGCTTCACAAATAAGGCCAGCTAGGCTATCTTTGACACAACTGCAATTCACAAATAGTCTGCTCTTGATTTGTTTTTCTTGTTCATTTTGTTTTCTTTCCTCTAATGTGCATACTAGCTGGAGACTGTACAGACTGCATTCTTTATAAACAATGGGAGAAATCAATTATGACTAAAATGTACAGCAAAATGTACTGGAATGATATCATACAATTAAATTTGCTCATATACATACATCATCTTGCTTTGTTCAATGCTTTTGTTTACACAACATACAAAATGATACTACAGTATAAGTGTAACAGACAGTGTTTTCATGGATTACTTTCTCTCTCATACTGTACTGCTTCATGCTCACATAAAAACATAAAAAAAAATCCCATAATACATGCTCTAGCCCAGCATCAATGTCTTTTGCCCATTTCTCCAAGTGACCTGGCCATTTCTCGTTCTTGTGTTCCCTTTTTCCAAAGTCCTCCAGAAAATCTTGTATGGATGTATATGTGTGCATAAACCCAATAGGAAGGATGTCTCCCAGATCCACTTGTGTCCAAAATATTTGATTACTGTATTGCCAACTGCTATTAAGGTTCTTGCTTCCTTTTCCTTAGTATTAACAAAACTTTATTTTTTGTAAACATTCTCTCTCACATTAAATACGCTACACAAAAATTTGCTGTTTAATGTACTTGGGACCCAAAGATTGAAAATTATTTTTTTTTAAAATCGCCAGCACTAATTTCAGTTGCATACACAAGGCATTGTCTTCTTTTCCAAATATAAGCCAGGTACTTCAGCTCTTTTCTTCTTTAAACTCTAAAGAGGAAGAATGGTTTCTATGTGCAACTGTCATTCCCAGAAGATCATTCCTGTCGACGACATTTGTGGCAAGCCTGATTTAGTCTTTCCTTCACAAATTTCCAACATGTGCTAAAGTCAGTACAAATATAAAAAAGGGATGGCACTCTTAACGTCATCCACAAATTGTACATAATTTACAACAGTATAGATTTACCATCAATTTTCACTGTCCTCTGGCTTTTTAAAGCCAACACTAATGCTTTACATTAATGTAGTGTAGTTAACTGCTTTGTACACATGTACAAAGGTAAAAGTCTCAACCTTTGAGGTTAATCCAAAACCTGTAGGCATTTTTTTTTCACATTTCTAATGAAGAGATTATTATTATTCCAACAGTTGCCTGGTCTCCTTGGTTAGCAGTTAGACTCTTCGTACTTGGACAGGCATTGTTGTTTGAACGTACTGAACTCCTGTTCTCATTGCCATGGTCCCAGCTGTAGGACTTACTACCACCGGAATGGTCTGCAGATTTAAAGCAAAAAGATACATCGTCTCAGAAATGCAGAACTGTGTCATGCACAAAGCCCAAACAAGTTATCATCAAAGACTTCATCGCACACCACCATTGTAAACTGGTAATGATACAAGACAGAGGTTGAGGGGTGGGGGGGTGGCTAGTGTTTGGTTCCACAATATGCATTCTCAAGCCTGCAAATAAATGTTTTTCAATATATTTGCAAGTAATTCATTAATAATAAATGACATAACAGAGCAGGTGTTTAATGTTTTGAAGATATCAATATGCTGACCTTTAGTGAAGAACAATGAATACCCTGTACACTATTTAAATAATACTTTAAAACTCAAGACAAAATAAAAATCGGTCTTCAAAAGATCAAAATCCATTAATGCCATTAATTCATAAGTGTGTGAGACAAATAGTTGCACTGGTTGTCAGGACTATTTTATAATTCTAGAAATTATTTACTGGAAATGCTTCAAAATAGAAAATGCCAACATGTGAGTATATAATCATAATTTCAATGGTGACTTTATCAACTATAATATTTAAATGCAATCTATATCAATACAGATTCCCATTTTGGCTCAGTAATTAATGAAATAAATACCTAATACTATTTTCCTCAACCTGGATTTATTCCCATAATCCCTCAAATATCATTATTTGCTATCTGGAGGATTATGTAGTTGAAATATATATTTAGAAGAAAACAGACTGATAAACGTTGGTCAAACATTTTTTTTTCCATTTGATTTATGTCTTTCTTATTCATAAAACTTTGCGTAGTCACAGAAAAAGAATTTAAAAATAATCTTTCTAGATCAAAAAAGTCACATCTGTCAAGCAAAATACACTCATTCAAAGTATTTTTTTATAAATTTTAACACACACGTGTTTATATATCCTGTTTATGTAACTTGTAATAGCATCAATTCACTGCATTAATGGCTTGCCATTTATCCATTTGGTTAGTCATTGATAATTTCATCCTCCAAAAATTTACCAATTGTTCTTGCACATTTTTAACCAAACTAGATTTGGAATAAAATCTTTAGTAATATTTGTAAATATATATATTTATGCCCACAGTATTCAAGTGTTATATGCTAGTTTTTTATTCAATAGTCTGATTCAGAAAGTGTTCAGACTCCCTTCACCTTTGTCAATTTTGTTATGCTGCAGCCTGATTCTAGAGCTATTGAAATTCATTTTCAAACAATGTAGAGAAATGAGAGTCACCTAAGCTAAATTTCACATGTTGTTGCAAAGGGTCTGAATACGCCAATGTGATCTTTCAGTTTTCTTTTTTTAATAAATTTATAGACATTTCTAAAACTCTGTTTTCACTTTGTCATTATGGGGTACTGAATATAGATTAATGAAGGGGGAAATGATTTTCAGCAACTGAAGCACAACAAAATTGACAAAAGTCAAGGAGGTCTGAATACTTTCTAAATGCACTGTATATGTATATGTATGCGCACACGCACACACACACACCTACTACTACTAGAAGTATTGTTTATTCTTTGTCACCTCTCAGACAAAGATGTCTTTCAGATAAATGCAAAATAATTCAAAACCAAAACTTTTCTAGCTTGAAGTTTTGAAATTAAACAAAGTGTTGGATTGTTCCAACCATAATAAAATGTTTCACTTTAACTAAAAGTGGATCGGCCCATTTCAAAGTCTGAATCTAAAGTATTTACATATCTTTACTGCTCCCTGTTCTTGCTGCTGGTAGAACTAGATTAGAAGAATGTGTGCGTTCTGGAACGCCTTGAGCAATTTCAACCAAACTTGGTACACAAATGACTTGCTCTCTGGAAAAAAATACTGTGGGGATGACACACTCCTAACACCCCTCAGGGTGTGGGTGTGTTCTGTTAAGATACAGCCTGTTGTGCTTCTACTGTGCAGGGAAGTGGAGTTGCCATGGTAATTGCTTCACAGTACTCCACAAGGGGCTCCCTCTGATAAAAGGGGGGGGGGAGGAATCCAACATTAGAAATTGTGTTTGGTCCTGACATTTCTCCCCTATAAATAAATACCCAGGCAACGCTGGGTTATCAGCTAGTATATTATTTTTTAAAAATCTCATTCTGAAAAGTATAATAGTAGAGGACCCCACCTGGTAAGTTTATTACAAAACTCAATATGCATTCCATAATTCTAGAAGCATACAATTAAAATCAACCAATACAATAAAACAATTTTTAGTATCTATGGAAAAAGAATTCATGAATTTGGGCATGCTATAGAGCATATAAATATCAACATTATGATGACATACATGAGAGTAAATGTATATATTGTACATTTGGAGCTACCAGTGAGATACACATTGATGTCAGCCAAAGTCCCTCTACCAAGTTATTTTATTTACAGTTTTGGTGCTCTTAGAAAGTACAGTTCTTGTCTATAATCCATCACACCTCCACTCCTGTTCCTTTCCTTTCCTTCCTTAAAGAAACTTCGGTCACCAAAGGGTAGCAAAGGCTGGAGGCTGTTGCACTGCTTCCCTGGTATGGACACAGTCTTCGGATTATGACAGCAATGGGAACTGGAATTACTGTTGCTCAGAGATGCAGTCATAAAGCATGACAGCACGTGACAGGTGTCATTTTTTCTGCAATGACAATTGCTGACATTGAGACCACACAGGTCATAAGCAAGCCTGCAACCTCCGACTTTCTGATGGCTTTCTCTATGACTTTGCTTGTGGGAAGCCAACAGGTTGACTATGGTCCATTGTGATGTAATAATTGTGAGCTGGGTCTTGGATCATGACCATATGACTGTGGAGATGCTGCAATGGCCACAACTCCAAAGACCAGTCAGAAACTACCATTTGTTCAGCACATGGTTAAGCTTTGAACAGTCATTTAATGAGTGGTTATAACCTGAGAACTACCTGTATCATGATATGATTTGGTATCTACGGCTCCAGCTTAACTTAATATCACATGCATCCACAACCTCCCAAAGATTGGGAATGACTACTATATATGATAAGGATAAATCATATTATGATATGGAAAGGGGTAATCCTTTCATTTTAAAGGCATCAGCCTCAACTTATTTAAAGCTGTCCTTTGCAATGTACATTGCAACAAAAACAGATAATGGGAAAAATGTGATGCACTATGATGGAAGGATACTGCAGTTTCAGCATCACAACCATATGAGCTAAACTGCAATTTACAAAGTAAAGGAGAAAGTCCAAAATCAGACCTGACTGTTAAATATAATTATTTTATGATTGAAAATAGTTAGCAAAACACATTGCTAAATAAATGATTTTGACTGAGTTTATATAACATGGTAGACTAAATATAGTTGGCTAGACTGAATTAGTGCATTCTGTATCCCAGTCAGTCTGGTCAACCACGGAGTTAAGAAAACAAACAAGTAAGCATGAACAGGTAGTCCTCACTTACTACTACTAATAAGTTATTGACTAATCGTAAGTTACGAACTTATGACAATCAGTGCTGAAAAAGGTGAGTTATGGCCAGTTCTTGGAGTTGCTGCCACTGCAGTGTCCTTGTGCTCATGTGATCACAATTTGGATGCTTTACAACCGATGTATGTTTATGATGGTTGCAGCATCCTATGGTCGTGTGATTGCCATTACAACTTTCACAGTTAGCTTATGACAAGCAAAATCAATGGAGAAGCCATCAGGAAACTGCAGTTACAATCAAATAATATCGCACTTAATGACCATAAGTTGGCATGGCCACAGGACATTACACTTAATCACTGTGTGGCTTAGCAATCAATTGAAATTGTGGTTGGTAAATTAGATCTACCTATAGTACAAGCATGAACTTTAGTTGAAGAATGCTGCATATTATCATTTTCCAATCGTAGCATAAAGCAGGTCAAATTTCAAAGCACAGGATATTTCCAATTGTCAGTCATCACCATCCCCACCTCCATAGTTCCCGGGAGATTTTATTATCTCTCTGGATTCGTTTGTTGAGCATTAAAAGATTTTGGGAGAAGAGAAGCACTGGCTTAAAAAGTTAAATGAGGTTTATGCATATTGCCAATACGGGTATGGAACAAAGACATAACTCAATGATATGTAACCTCTAGGATGAATGTGGAATCTAATAGCATATTTGTTCTCTGACAGAGCTAAAATGTTGGATTTTTTTACTTCTCGAGGACTGGGGGCTTCCAAGTCTTAAAATACTTGTTTTGTCCTTACCATCAATGCCCTCGAAATGCAAAACAGCCTACATCATACAACTCTGACACTTTCCAACACCTTCCCTGATACTAGATGGAGCACAAACCAAATTGTAACCCTGGCCTAATCTTAAACTAAAGGCATCACTGCCCATATCAATAAGGAAATCTCCAAATACTCTATTCTATTCTGTCTGTTTACTTTTTAGTCCATTGACTGACCAAATTGCTTGGGTAAATAAAATAAAAAACTATTAACAATTTAAAGTATCCAGAATATTTAATTAAATATTTAATTAAATCCAATGCACAATTTTAGTGGTTAGTGGGAAGCACTGATGATCTTAGTGGATCTTGTAGGAGAAAGTATTCTCTCATGTGACCTAGGATGAATCCATGTAAGCCATTCAAATAATACGAAACGCTTTGTACTATACCTAGAAAATAACTGACACCCAGTTATCACAAAAAGCTATGGAAAGTTCCAATTCCAAATTCAGAGACTGACGGTTAATTAATTAGTATTAATTAAAATTAGCATTCATTAATGTTAATGAATGTTAATTGCCCCACAACTTTAAACAACTATGCAAGAATATTTAGATATGGTCATGCAACAAAGTATCACTTCCTTTTGTATAAATTGTCACAGCACAGATTCTCCAATGACCTCCATGCTGTGCCTTACTGGTGTTATAATGAATTGTCTGTCATTAATGTTCTGCCCATTTTACTTTCTCCTTCATTCCACAGGGCTACATACCATGAGGATTTTAAAAAGAGAAGATGGTATTTATGCAGTTGTGTTTACCACTCTAGTAAATTCCCAATTCTAGAACTCAATGAAGCCTTGTCTGAATTGCCTGAAAAATCTATTCCAGAATACTGTTATGACTCCTTGGAAAAACCAGTAGTTCCAAGAAACTGTTTGGAAAAGCAAGCTGAATTTGTCCTCTACCCCTGCACAGATGGAGATTGACTGCAAGTCCTACCTTAACCAGGCAGTGGTCCATTCATGACAATGGGAATTCACCCATGAATCATTCTTTCAGCCAAAATAAAAGACCAACTGAGTATGTCAGCTGTCTGCTTTGCCTCTAAGATCCAATGTCATAAAATGTCACAGTTGCTATGAATTCCTGAGTCATACCAGACAGTCCAGGCTGAAATTGATGTGGAAATCTCCTCGAATCTAGAATTCTATAAGCCACCCAGATTTACTTACTTAATTGAGAAAGTATATAAATAAATCAGTGAATTTCTTAATGAGCTGGTTGTTATATACAGCCATATTTCCTCTCCATCTAACTTCCTCTAGCTTGCCTAATTACTGAAACAGGTCCTCTTGCCTCATCCAACTAGATTTGTTTATACAAGCCAGCTTTCGTTCATGATCAAATCATGAAATGTTTCCAATTCTGTTGTTTATTTATGTGTCACAGAAAAGAAGCAAAGGTGAATTCTATGTGGAACTGAAACTATTCACTGGGAAAACTAAGTTGTCAGATTAGCTAGAAAAAGAAACTAACTGCAAATTTCACTTTCTATCTAGTGATATATTGACTTTCAACTTCTACCTTTTTATATCCTACCACCATCAAAATACTAGCCTTTTGACAAAACCCTTACCACCATGTACTTACTACTAGCCCCTGATGCTTCTTAGTCAATCAATTAATTATAGCACATGACGATTCCTAAGTTTAATGCAATTTTGAAATTACACAAAACACCACAGATGAAGAATAGCATAGCTTTCCCTAAAGTGCTTCAGAAACTATAATAGTAATATAGAATTTTAAATCAATAAATAAAACTTGAATCTTTGATTGTCCTAGATGACAATGTATGGTGTAAAAGAAATGGAAATGTATAGCAAAATAAATCATTTTGCACAGCAAATTGAGTTAAGACCAGTGAATTCATATTGTGGTAACACAGGAGAAAACCCATCCTCCCTCCAAAATAAATGAGCTGTTTCAATGGCAAAAACAGTACTTACAATTGTGGGTTGAGTAGTTGGTATATAGGTAGTGGTCTGCGATACCTGGACCAACTTTATAGGCTGGCTGCTTGTCACACCTGTTGCTATCTGCAGAGACAGCACAGGTAACCAGAGTGAAAGGTTCAGTTTTTATGTCAATGCCACCTATTTATAACATGGTTTTAGGTTTAGATCTTGCCTTTCCTAAATGGAAGGACTGCCTCTGACTGCTGGGGGAAGAGGGGAAATGATTTTTATAGATTCCTCCTCTCTGCTGTACCAAAAAACCCATCAATCTGCTATGGGAGACAAGGAAGAGTTGAGAGATCTTCCTGAAGCCTGAGACATAGTGCTAGGTATTGTGATAGATGAGAATCAGCTAAAAATTATCTTCTATCCATCTTTTGGTTCTTAGTGAAACTTGCTCACAAATGTTCTCCATTTGTGAAACCAAACTCTGGATTTAACCCATAAAAATGTCAGTGCTTGGCTTTAAAAAAAACCTTACAGTTTAATGAATTCACAGGTTACAGTTTTATAAATAAAAGCAAAATTTAAAATATGAAAGTGAGCAATGCATACAATTTGATGTTTCAAACATATATAACAATCATGTGAATGCAATTTGAGATTTCCAAAGAAAAATATTTCATGATAAGATACCTATCACAGAGAGCACAGTACAATTACAAGTAAGGTAATTGGGTTTCTATTTAGCAATTTCTTGTTAAGAAATATAACATTTTTCAGTGTCTTTCATTCTAAATATGCTTTGGGCTATCCTTTCTTTCTCTCTAGAATGCACAAGACCTATGATTCCTTTCCTTAGAATAAAGCAAGACAATTAAATTATATAGTTTTGTAAGAGATACTGACTTCTTGAGGTGTAGCTCAGTGGTGGGATTCAAATTTTTTTACTACTGGTTCTGTGGGCATGGTTTGGTGGCCGTGTTGTGGCTTGGTGGACGTGGCAGGGGAAGGATACTGTAAAATCTCTATTCCCTCCCCACTCCTGGAGAAGGATACTGCAAAATCCCCATTCCCTCCCGATCAGCTGGGACTTGAGAGGCAGAGAATAGATTGAAGCGGGCCAGTCAGTGGTGGTATTTACCGGTTCTCCGAACTACCGGTTCTCCAGAACTGATCAGAACCTGCTAAATACCATCTCTGGTGTAACTGAGATAAAATGTCATGATAAAAGAGTTTATTTTTTCAACAGAATGTACTATTGTGCTTTAAGAAAAACTAATAGGGACATACAAGAATGGATAGAAATCAGAAATGTACTTGTTAATAAAGTTTTATTGTAACTGCTAGTTTTGTTTTAATAAGAAAGCCAGGACCCATATTTGACCCATACAAGATAGAGAACAATAATAGTTATCTATATATGATTAGCAATTCTAGTATCTATAGAATCTGCAGAAAAGTAAGGATACTGAATTAGATAAAGATGTGGGTAATACTTTCAAAACTCAGCTTTCAGCACTTGACAGGAAAACTTGTGTGTATGTGTGTATTTCAAAATAAGAAGTCTGAGGGATATTTGTGATGAGCCTGAGCAGTCACTACATCCCAAGTGGGTGGAAACAGGGCAAAATCACATGAGAATTCTTATGCCATGATTTAAAAAAAAAGAGTAGCACATACAACATTAGATACAACTTTGAACCCTAAGAACTAACTCTGTAAAAGGGGAAAATAAAGAGAAAGGTATTTCACCAGCCCGCAATAAAATAAAATAAAATAAAATCCCATTTATTGCTTTGTACAGCTTTTAAAAATAAACCTTAAAGCAAGGCTGCACCATGGAAGGACATACTTACCGTAACACTTTCCTTGCTTTTTTCCACAACTGCCTCTTTTTCCTTTGGAGCATTGGTTGCTTCTGTAGGCGCAGGCTGTGCACTGGAACCAGGTTGGGACGCTTTGTTTAATGTTTCTGAATTAACTTCACTATCTGTCTCTTGCTGGGTTGCAGTAGCTAAAATAAAAACCAAGAGAGTTTAAAAATGGAGGTGAGATTCATTCACAAATAGATAAACAGTGTAACTGTAGAAACACTAGCCATTTACCTGATTGTGTACAAGACTTCATATGTTCTGGCCAATGAGCTTGTTGGCAAGGATAGTCACAATAGCTGGTATTCCAACAACAGTAAAAGATGGCCTCTTTTTTGCAGTTGGCACACCACTGCTTCTTTTTGGTCTCATCCACAGCTTGTTGCTTTTCTAATTCCAGCTGTTTCTTCACTTCAGCGATTAAACGATCTCTTTCTTGCTCTAAGCTTTGTCTCATTTCAGCCATTGTGAGTTCTAGGTAACAGATGAACAGCATGTAATCTAACAGTATTTAAATGGCCTATCTGTTAAGTAATAAAATGGTAAGCTACCTTAAGTGAAATAAGAGATGCTGATTAATTACAATAAAGGCAGACAAATGTACACTATAATGTACATAAATAAAAAATAAACATGGAAGTTCTTAAGATCTTTTACAATAAGATTACATATTGTATAAGATCTTAAGAACTTCCATTTTTTTATTTTTGAAACAATCCACTATTTTTTAGGTGTCTTTCAAGAAATAATTACCAAACAATTTAGGTTTATTAGCTATCATGATGACATACTGTGACAACTGAGCTAGACTTCTATAATTGATTATATATATGGAAAACAGAGCCGCACAGATATTCCTTTACATACTGGACCATGAACCCCCAAAATATTTAACAAAAATAATGTTATTTTTATACCCAGATTATGTTTCATTTCTGAGAGCTCTTGCTGATGTAACCACTGAAGCTTTTCAATTTCAATTCTCAGACGACGAATCTAAAATATTAAAAAAGAATAACAACAGGAGTGTCAGTCAAAATAGAATGAAATCCTTCTTTCTCCTCTATCCCCACATTTCTTTCTGAGGGGGAACTCTTTAAATCAAATCTGGGTGCATAGGGAAGAGGGAGGGAGAGAGACCATGAAAGGAAATCCAATTGCACGGATGACAATCTTTATTTAGAAACTAATCACTTTCATGGAAAAATATCTTGGTGTTGTTAATAAGATCAGAATAACTATGCTTCCTATAAATTGTGCAAAATAAGTAATGGCATCTACTCTTTCTCCCAATGGAATAAAGAGAAAGGAGGGCAAATGTGCATGAATCAAAAAGTGGAATAAAGCTATTCCCAAAGACATATACTTGTTTCTCCTGCATTATAGTAAATACTATCCCTCGCAACACAAAGTTGTATTGTATTGTATTCAGTACGTAATCCGATATAATGATAGTGTGAATTAAGTATTTCCAAATGTTAACTGGATCTTGGATAATTTGTACAATAGAAGGCTTTACTAGCTTTTCTGGTAGAGGTAACAAGAAAAATCTTTAAAAACTGAGTTTGCTGTATCTGTCATGAAGTAGTGTTATTATACTGTTTCTTTTAGCATAGAAAGTCTCAGCCATATGAAATACATTCTTTATTTTACTGTGCTCTCTCATGCATACTACATCCGATTAATAATTTCAAGTGTTGACATAAGAAGAGAGACAGAAACAAAAGGTTTGAAATAGGGATGTACAACTTTCATTAATTTCAGACTTGGCAGTTTTGTTATTCCTCTAACTTTCAGGGCTCCAGCCTAGATTAGATTTGTAGATTTGTAGATTTATTTATTTATAGGCCGCCCTTTTCCCTGAGGGGCCTCAGGGTGGCTTACAATCAAAAAGGAAGGGGAGTGTAGGACAATACGAAAAAAAGAAATGTGCACAAAATAAATTAGACAATAAAACTCAACATTCACTCA